TGCGGGCGAAAGCCCGCGAAAGGGTGGCGAAAGGGTTGTTTTTGGGAGAAGGAATATTGGACAGCCCCCACATGTCCATTTCAGCACAACGACATGGTTGTGATTCAGGGTCGAACCTCTGCATCTTGCTCTCGCATAATTGAAACAGTGCAAATTTTTGCTCGCAACGAAATGACACCTCCAGCGTCTCTGCTGGCTACCCCACAAAAGGCCCAGTAGGTCAAAACCATTCCAGTGCTAATGTTTAAACATGTGAGCAGCTACAAACCAATGGTAACATTTCAGCATGGCGCGCAGCTGCAAGACTTGCTAACAAAACTTGAAAGTGAAGCTCAGAATTGCCAGTAGCCAACTCTAGCATGGCAAGACATAGCCATGAGAACAACAAATACTCTCATTTGGCGTGCGGCCAGAAAACTGCCTAAGTCTCCCTTCTGCAGTTGAGATTGAAAACCGCGTTCCAAAACGCCAAACGATGTTGTACGGCAGAGTTTTGCAGAGGTTGCCCAGGTAAAAAGTTCCCGTGGGATGGACCCAAGAGCCTGCAATCAGCAATACTCGAGAATAGTGTTAACCAATCCTTCCAATAGCTAGAGGTCACCCGCTTATTCAGCCAAACGCTTTTGTATTCGATGTGGGGTGCCAGATCCACACCCTCAGCTGGAGTAGCTGAGCCGGCGCTAGAGATGTTTAAAGCCAGCAAGAGCTGTTGCACGCACAAATCGTTTACGAGAAGCAAAGTTGTCAGTATTTCATAGCTGTGCTTGACACTTCTGTGACTCTGGGATTTTGGTAGCTCAGGTTCTTAATTCGAGCTGGCGTCGAGATAGGCGCCCAGCGAGCTCGCAGAGAGGCGGCAGGATTCAAATGTCAGTGACTGTCAGTGATGTCCACAAGATCCGAAGGTTCCAAGCATAATCCACAGAAAATGAACTATACTACGTAGCAATCGGAGCCTGACAAAAGAAGGCAGCAGAGGCGGCAGAGGAACAGGAGCGTCAGCGGCTGGAGGAGGCAAGCGTAGCTCGACTGATGCTGAATTCACCTCCTGTTGTTCATTGCTTGTCTGAAGTCTGAGATGCTGGCAGGAAGCTCAAAGAAGACAGGAAGAGGCATCCAACTGGAATGCCTGTAAGCCCTGTCTTTCAACAAATTGCATTGCCTTGTTTGGCAGGAACAGAGGCGGCTCAAAGTGGAAGAGGAACAGAAACTGGCAGCAAAAAGAAAGGCTGATGCAAAGTGCTCAGCTTCAACATGACCTGCCTTGCTTGGTGCTGCGGTTTGCTCAGACTCTGTAAGCATCCAAGTTTCACACAGGCTGAGGCTGAGCTGCGTCGGCAGGACGGTCTGCGTGATTCACCGCCTGAACCTTGTCCTCCTGCCCTTCAGGAGGAGGCGCGCAGAAACAACCGATGTGTCCTTCGCTGCACAGAGATCGGAGGAGGTGGTGGCAAGGACAGCTTTGCGAGGCTTGAAAAGCAGGCTTCGCGCCCTCAACTTCACAATGAAGAAGATTTCCTGCATGGCCGTAAGCACAACATTCAGCAGCGGTTAATGGCTCCGTCATCCTCTAAGCATTCAGGTTCAGTACTTAGCTGGCTCCTCATTTCTTTTGAATCGTCCAGGCAGGTGGAGTTATTGAAACGTCTCACAGACCTCCCTCACTCCCTCACCTTGCACAGTGGGGCTTTGGCACCAAACAGACTCACACTTGAGGCTGGAGCGCGGAACCATTTCATCCACGAGCTGCATCATCTTCGCGCGGGGGGCGTGGTTGAGTAGCAAGGAAGCTTTGAGAACAGAATCCTCTGATTGTTAAGCACCATCCCGAAAGATGAATTTTAAGCTCAAACCCACAACGGCATGCGCCAGCCAGATCAGGCAGACAGTGCTGAGATGAGGAGCCAGAACAGGAATGCTGTAAGGTCAACGAAGCTCAGGAGAATCCACAAACTAAACAGAGCTTCCCGGGACTTGAAATGTCTGACGCCGAATGCCGGCATAATTAATTGCCACTTCCCAGCCAACTTCGGTAGAGCCACAAAGCTACAGCAATCGTTCAGGGCGCCCGAGGAATCTTGGGTTGCGTAAGTGTCCATCTGAAGTTCTGAAGTATGAGATGCTTAGCTGCGTTAGCAACCTTGTGTTGCCACTGTAGAATCTTCACTTGGCTGAGACGGCATCTCTGCGTGATCAGAAAGCTTGCGCCAGTTATCTCTGTCATGTGTGTCTCTTGGAAGTTTCAGACCCCTGCATCCCCCAAAAAGTTTGTTTCTTGATGCATAGTCTGACTTGTTTGGAATACCTGGGTTTTTGTTGTTCTGCGGCATGTCTGCGAAAACTCTGCTTGCTTGGATCTTTGACATGGGTCTTTTCGTAAGGTAGAACCCAGAACATCTCCCGCGAAATGACATGCGGGGGCTTGATCCGCAACCGGCCCCACGCCTGTGTTGCTATCCAGGAGCTGATTACCGCCAGCAACCTGACTGTGATGGAGGTGCGAGAGCTTCCGGATGCAATCCCTTTGCAGAAGCCTGAATGGCCAGACAGTTTCTTGTCAGCTTGCGCCCTTGCTTTAGCATTGCTTGATGTGTAAGGTGCTTGAGGCACACTTTTTTCAAAGGGGCCCTTGAGGGTGTGTAGGGGCACTACTGTACATGAGGGAGGCTGACAATTCTGGCTGAGGATCTGGCAAAAAGGCAAAGGACAAGGGTGAGCTGTGTGGATGCACAAGCCTTGAAGATTGGGCATGCATGACACAACTATCACTTGGAATTTGTCACAAAACCTCCGATACAGACTCCCCAGAGTTTTGTCAAACAGTCACGTGTAAACTGGTGCGGCACGATGCGACAATGTGTTTTTCATCCTTCCATCCGTAAAAACGTTGGACGTAGACACATCCTAGGTCCAGGTCCATGGCACGCAGAACAAGTTCTCAGCAAAGTAGCAAGGCCACTGGCCTTCCTCGCAGCAATCCACGAGTTGGCATTTCTGCGTCAGCTTAAGGGTAGTCAGGGTATGCCGAGAGCCTTCTAGCATCCGTATCGCGGACGACATCTATCGAATCATGGCAACGATGTCCGAATCAGTAACTAGCATCAGAAACCGCAATCCCTGAATCAGCAACTAAAATCCCAAAATTAGTAACTTGAACATGCACCAATCTACGCTTGCAAGGATGCTGCGATATGCAGAGATAGTTGTAAAGATAGCACCCCGCCCTCCCTGCCTTCAAATTGAAAGGACATTGTGGAGGGAAACTCGCAAGGAGATATGTCTCAAGAGCTATTTGTTAAAACCAATCCCTCGCAAGCAAATTGTGGTGAAGGGAAACTCAAGAAGATGAACTTGTCAAAGCCACACCTCTTAGAAGAAGTGACACAGACAAACTCCAAGGCAAAGTGCTAAGGCCACGAAGAATTGACGCAGGAAAGCCCCAGAAACATATGTTGAGACCAACGCCCCCTTCAGATCCCTATGCCTTGCAATCACAGTGCACAAGAAGAAGGAAGAAGTGACACGGAGAACTCCCAAGACACGTGTCACAAACCTGCCTTCCTCTTGCAATTAGAAGGGCATTGTGAGAGAGGGAAACTCAAGGAGCAACATTAGCTAGAAACCACCACCTCCCCAACTATCACCCTGCAATTGAAGTGCACAAGAAGCAGTGACAAGGAGAATCATCCCTGCGCCTTGCAATTGAATGGACTTTGTGGTAGAGGGAAACTCAAGAAGAGAAGGAGCAGAGGCACGGAGTAAGTCTCGACCTTTTCGCCTTGCAAGCGAAAGGACACTGCGGTATGGGGAAAGTCAATCAGATAAGTTTGCAACGCCGCACCTCTTTCGCCTTCCAATCTGAATGCACAAGAACACCTCACACAGATAAACTCCAGAGACAGGCTTGCGCCTTGCAATTGACATGACACTGTGGTACAGGGAAAGTAATGAAGAGACCACCCCTGTTCAACTTGAAGGAATGTCATGAAGAGACAACTTGTTCATGCCACCCCTCTTCGCTAAACCATGCGGCTTTGTCAGGCTTTGTCGTCTTAGCATTGTTTCACAGAGCCTCACGCGGAAAACTGTTTGCAAAATCATTGACACTTAGGTTCTTGACCCAGAGAGCCCGAAGCCCTAAATTAAGGAGTATGCCGTAAAGCACATTCGGGATCCTGGTATCTGCTATCGATTCAGCATGATTCAGCACCGTTGGTTGCTGCTCCAGCGATTTCGGTTACCGATCCAGCGTTTTCTTTTACCGATTCAGCGGTTTCAGCTTTGGGTTCAGCGGATTTTAGTCACTGCTTCGGCGGTTTAGTTCATGATTAGTTCAATCCACATGCATGTCACGATTCAGACGTTTTTCGGTCACGATGCAGACGTTTCAATTCACGATTCAGGCCTTCTAGTTCACGATTCAGACCCTGAGCCCTCTAGCCCAACCACTTACATGATCCTGGGAAGCCAGCTGTAGCAGGTTGCGCGGCAGCTGTGCAGAGAGTCTGCATCTCATTCTCCAAGCTGCCGGAGATGCTGGAAACGCGCAGCTGTGCTGTGTTGTGCAAGGCTGAACATGCTCCGCGATGAAGAGCATCAAGGCGGAATTGTGCTTCTCCACAACGGTCAGCCGCTTCCAGGACAATAAAGTCTTGGCTTTGGCAGCTACACCGGTCTGGGTGCTGGGGAAATATCCGAACCAAAATGGCAGGACGCCAGACCCTTCATGATGCAGGCATCCAGAATAATGACGAGGCCTGCTGCCCAACTGCATGCCAATGACTAGAATGACTAGAAGAAGAGCCACTGGGCTATGCTGGGCTGTTTCTAGGAGTCCTTTCGTCCGCCACGTTTCAGGTTTACTACTTCTGGGGCGAGGGCGGTGAGGCTGTAGCAGAACTCGGATGATGTTTGCTGGACCCTCCGATCGCTCTAGCAAAGTTTGCACCTTTTTGCACCGATTGCTGACTCCTCGTGATGAGCCTGTACTTTCGGTGGAAAAGACCAACAGAAGTCTTAGATTCTTGTCTCGCAAAGTCGCAAAGCCGCGTGCAAATGCACATAATTTTTATATGCATTTTTAGCATGCGCCACAGACCTGTGCTGATGCAGAAAACACGTGACCCTGTACTCAGCCGAGCGCCTGCAATCCGCACATTCCATATGCAATCATTTTCCGAGTGTCTAATACTGTTCATCGCACGTGTAAGCCTCGAGGCAGCGCCAGGTCTTCAGGATGCAATGCGGAGCCCTGAGTCATTTGAAGGTCTATTTTGCTAAATTTACCTGTCATTGAGGCACTGCGACATACAGCTTCCTGCTCCTAGCACATTTTAGCTGGGGAGGGAGATTCCAGCAGGGCTGGTGGTTTCTCTATAGCCAACCTAGCGAAACTCAGCCATCTTCAGTCCTTCAGCATCAGATTCTCCAAAGCCGTTGTGGGTCTTCGTGGTATTGGAATCAGCTTCCACGGAGCCCTGTGGCTTCGAAGGAATATGAGCAGCCTTTGATTCGTTTGCTGGCAAATAAGGGGAGGGCTGAGGAAGCTGTATTCAAAACTGTTCAAAGATAGCCAACCTCCTGTTCCCGCTTCGAGCTGCTTCTAGTCAGAACTCAGAGGCTGTGTCCAAGCTGGGCGCAGAAGAGACTCAAATTATGACAGAGAACAGATGCGCCTTCTTGGGAGCCTTCCCTGGTTTCTTGGAACAAAACACGGATCCCCACTTTTGCGTTCCCAGACCAGCTTCCCCCAAATTTGGGATAGTAAATGTGGAGACCCCATCTGAATTCCCAGGGAGAGTTCAAGTGGGGTGCTTTGACGTGCTGACTAGGCCGTGCAAAATCAAACAAAGTCTCAGGCCATGCAAGCCGGAACCGACGATGTCCAAGCGGCAGCAGAAGAAGCAGGCAAGAAGATGTTGTGAATGCGTAAAGTACGTTCAGGTTTGGAAACAATCTTTGATGGCTGAGACTCGTCTCAGGTGCTGCGAGACGCCAGGCTTGAACGTAAAGGCCACAAGAAGCTTCAGAAGCAGGCCTCAACTGATTATGCGTTTGCGCCCATTCGAATTCGTTTGGTGGAGTTTTGGCTGGCTGGGCTTCAATAGTCTTTCCACGCTGGCAGGTTGATGCATTGGGAGCCGCCCTTGCTGCATTGGACAGATGTCTCACAGAACATCTGGGACACGAGAGAACAACAAGGGAAGCTCTGCTTGAAGCATTCGGAGAAACTCGCTGTGGCTACCAGCAACTTCCGCTTGCACATGGGCCATGTCTTGCCAAAGGCTTGAGTCTGCTAGGCTCCTGCCTTCTCCGGCCACAGCGCTACAACGCTAAGTTTCTTCCGCAAGAGTATTCATTATTGCATAAGATCTGGACACTGTTCCGCGGCAACGTGGCAAATGCAGGTGTGCTTGACATTGGAGCGGGCAACGCGAACTGTGCTGTTCTGGCTGCGGCGCTCCTTGGGCTGACAGTGATATGCGTGGAGCGCGAGTCTCCCAGGAAGGAGCTGAGGGCTGAGGAGCAGCTCCCAGAAGTTCTAAAAAGCCGTGTAATTCGAATTGAGGCAGACATCGCTGACTTTGATGGGGATTGTTTAGCACGTCTTGCGCGTCAGGCTGGCTTGGAAAGGTTTGTGCTGGTTGCGAAACACCCTTGCGGCATTTGTGTGGATCGGTCAATCGACTGTGCGGTACAGCTGCGGCGGCCTGCAGGTTCATCAGCCGGCCCCTGCTTGATCGGCGTTGTGATTGCAACGTGCTGCACAAACAAGCTGAGTCTGGATGACTTTCGAGTTTCTCGGGTGGAGGAGTTCTGTAATCTGAACGCTGACGGCCTACCCTCAAAGACGGATGCTTTGGTAAAAGCAGTTGAGGTCATGAGCAAGTGCAGTGCTTGGCGCAGCGCCTCGGGCAGCCTAGGGAATGCGATTACGAGCGAGCAGGTATCGTGGGCAGAGCTGTTCGAAGATCACTTGCAAACCTTACGGCTTAAGAGGTTATCGACTGCTTTTGGAACTTCTTTGGAGGTGCGTTTTGCACCTCGAGAATGCACGCTGCAAGACAGGTGCCTTTTGGCCACAGAGTCCCCTTTGCCAGAGACCATCTGCGCCGACCATTCCTCGGATCCAGTTTTTCTTGACCGTCTGGAAAATGGAGTCAAGGAGCTTTTCAAAGAGGCAGGTGGTCCTTTGGACTGCAGGCCCAAGGACTTTTGGACTGCAGAGTCGGTTTTTATGCTGCAAATTGAGAACCGTATATATACGTACATATTGCAAAAGCACGATCTACATGTAACACACTTGGTTTTGACGCACTGAACTCACCTGAGGGGCTCAAGTCTGCAAAGTACGATTTTGATTACACGGCTGATTGAGTGCATCCTGGAAGCCTTCAACGCCTTCATGAAGATCTTCGAGACCCCTGCAGGCCACAATAGCTTCAGCAAGCCCCGCAGCTGCAGAGCGTGAACTGATCAGCTCTCCAGCTCACGGCGGTTACGGACAGCTGAAGGTTTGTGAAGATCTGCTGCGATCTCGGATCTCAACATCCTCAGAGAGACTGCTCAGGAAGGACAGCTTCTGTTCTTGAGAATCGCAAAACAGTCTACCGTGATTTTCGGACATCATCCAATCTAGTCTGATCTAATATGCATGTGCTGTTCCGCACAAAGGCCATATGTGTCAAGCAAGCTGCAAAGTTTCTACGGTTAACCTTCTCCTGTACCCGCAACCGAAGCAGGGGGACTACCATCAGGCTGCCACTGAGGTTCTTTTCCATGGAGGGCAAGCGGGGTTCTATCGTTAGTTGCGGGGGCATTCTCTCCAGCCTCGACACAGGAAGAAATTGTGGCTCAATTACTAATGGCCCGCCTGGCCTGCACTCATGACTTTAGCAAGGTATGCCCGGATCCAGCAGTATGATTTTGGCCTGGCAACGTGCTAGCATTGACCGGGCCTTTGCGTTGAAGAGTCTAGATGCAAGTCTGGCTTTTTGGGCAGGCTTTTGAAAAGTGGTATGTTTTCTTCAGGCTGAGGATTGCGGCCATCTTGGCAGTGGGGATTCAAGGTTCCGTGTAGATATTGCAACGCAATTCAAGGCTTGCTTCCGCCCTTGTATCTTGTTTCTGGTGCTGCTCGCCGTGGCTCCTGCACTAGCTTTCGACGTCGTGTTCCTCCAAGTGAGCCTCCCAAGTGAGTAGTATTTTATTTGGGGATACTATGGTACCCATTGTAGAGTAAGATTATATCCTCCTTTTGGGGTATAGCATTTTATATAACGAATATTACCTTTACCAGGTTCAACCACCAAAAATAACGCTACTCAAGTGACAGAAACGTTGCAGTACCAGTTTCGTTGACTAAGAGATCTTGCAACAACTAGAGCGTTTAGCATTTGTTGCTGCAGAAGACCTTGATCACATGTTGAGGACTTACGCTATGCCGTAGCTACGCTTTGCAAACCATGCCATGGTCAGCATGCGCTCTTCGTCCTCCGAGTCTGCAAGTCATGACCGCCGCAGCCGACACTCCCATCCAGAGCGGCGGGCTTGGGATCAACCGAGTACTGCTGGGTACTCTGGTTTAGAGTACTGAGACAGCTGGCTGCAAGCATTCTGGGACCGCGCAAGAGCTGACTTTGCTAGGCAGCGATTGATCTGTTTCAAGTTCGAGCACCTGAGAGCTCTGAGGCGCACAAGTTTTCTGGACAAGCAGGGGATGTCATGTCTGAGGGTTGCAGGTGGGCTACGTGCGGCCCATAATAGTAGAATTTTTGCGCGGCCTCGCGCCTCTGCGGCCCGTTTAGGATACTGCCCTTCAGGCCCCTAGGTCGCTAGGTTTCCGCAACTTCCAGAAATTCAGGTTTCAGCATGTTGTTAGGGTTCAAGGTTTTTAGGGTTTAGGGTGTTCAGGCTTTTGAGGGATTAGGCTTCCAGGGTTTGGGGTGTTGTAAAGCGCTTTGGGGCTTAGGGGGTTTAGGGTTTTGCGGGTGAGTGCTTTTAGGGTTTGCGGTGCTTCGGGTTTTTAATTTTTGTCTTTCTGGAGGTTAGGGGTGTTTAGGGTATTTAGGGTTTGGATTTTTGGAATCTAGAGTTTTTAGGGTTTAGGGCTTTTAGGGTATAGGGAATTTAGTGGCTTTTAGGTTTTCAGGGTTTAAGGTTTGTAGAGTTTATAGGGTCTAGGGTGTTTAGGGACGTTAGGTTTTCAGGGTTTAAGGCTTTCACGTGTTTAAGGTTTTAGGGTTTTTAGGGTTTGGGGTGTTTAGGGCTTTTAGGGCTTGCGTTTTTTTAGGGTTCAGGGTGTTATAAGGGTTTATAGGGTTTAGAGGGTTGTGAGTTTCATGGTGACGGGGTTTCTAGGGTTTCAGGTAGTTAGGGTTTCGGGTGTTTAGTTTTTTTTGGGGTCTAGGGCGTTATATAAGGGTTTGTGATTAGGGTTGAGGGGGCTTAGGATTTCAGGGTGTATTTTTTTTCAAAGTTTTTGGTGTTTAGGGTTTTGAGGGTTTACGCTTTTTAGGGTTAGGGGTGTTTAGCGTTTTTAGGGTTTTGGGCTTCTAGGGCTTTTGGGGTCTAGGGCCAGGGTGTTTATGGGTTTCAGGTTTTCAGGGTTTAGGGTTTTTAGGGTCTATAGGGTGTTTACGGACTTTGGTTTGGAGTATTTGGGGTTTAGGGTTTTAAGGCTCGCGTTTGTTAGGGTTTAGGGTGTTATAAGGATTTATAAGGTTTAGGGGGTTTTGAATTTCAGGGTGAGGGTTTTTTTGGTGGGTTTCGGGTGCTTAGAGTCTTTTAGGGTTTAGGGTGTTATAAAAGGGTTTATGGGGCTTAGGGTTTCAGGGTGAGGGGTTTTGAGGCTCCAGGGTTTTCAGGGTTAGGCGTGTTTAAGGTTGTTCATGGTTTAGGGCTTCTATGGCTTTTCGGGTCTAGGGTTTTTAGGATATCTAGGGTTTAGAGTTTTTAGGGTTTGGGGTGTTTAGGGCTTTTGGGGTTTAGTGTTTTGCGGGTTTGGGGTGGCCTCCGCCCGACCTGCGGCTCGCGGCCCGCGGCCCGCGGCCCGCGGCCTCCCGTGGCCCACGTCCCCGCAGCCCGCGGACCGTGGCCGCGCCTTCAGGGCAAAAAAAAACAAATCCCGTGCGGCCGGGCAACTTTCTGGCACTGACATTAATGCGAAGTGACGTGAGTCGGGGGTGCAGGGGGTGTGACGCTTTACAGCCGGCCAGATTCCGTAACGCGTGTGCAGCGTCCCCACTGAAAATGCTGATGCCTGCTTTAGTCTTGTCGAGCATACTGTAGTTGCCGCCCCTGGGTCCACATGCAACATTGGCTTCGTTCATCCATCGTCTTATTCCTCGAAGTCTCAGAGCCCTGGGTCATGCAATGTTGACAGGTCTCGGGACATACAGCTCAGACTCGATGCAGTGAGCTTCTCGGATGTGCTGAGCAAATTTGAAGCCCGCTACCTCGTGACGTGCAGGCCCTGCGCTGTCATGCCACCGGAGTCGGCGAGATCACGTCGACGGACGCTGCAGAGGCCTGAAGATCCCTGAAGGGTTGAGAGCGGTTGACAGCCTGATGGCAACAGGTTGATAAGTTGCATGGGGGCTTCGCGCTTCAGCAGCAGGAACATCTTGCTTCTTGAGACTTGCACTTCGAAGATTTAGGCTTCGGAAGATGGGGTGAGAGGCTGGATGACTGATGATCTAACGACCTATGAGATAAAGGAGTAGGAAAAGGGGTTGACTAGAGCCCTGATTGAAGAGTTCTCAGCTGTCCGTCTGGGTCCAAAGCATGCCAGACACTCTGCCAGGGCTTTGTGCTTTCACCACCACCGGATGGCACCTGGCCGCAGCCTCCAAGCTGCTGGAAGTTTCAGAAAACTTCTGGCTCTTGAAGCAATCCGGACTCAGGCCATCAGACGCCCAAGGCTCCTGCATGCACTGCATGGTTGCTCTGGGTAAGCCAAGCTTAACACGTGGCCACAGGTGCAGTCAGCTCGGATAACGAGGAGGCCGTACGCATATTTGGCAATTCACGAGCTGATGGTCACTCAGTCAGCTGACTCCCTGATACAAGGCAAGATCCGGCTCGGAGGAACGCTACCAGGCTGCTTCACTTGCAGGTTGCAAGGTGTTGCCCTTCGCATTTCCTGTACATGTAGCCAGGAGCGGCCACGCGCAGATGATGGACGCTAGACTGTGTCAATCTCTCGCCTTTTTTGAATTCACAATGTGAAGCAGCTTTCTCGCCAGGCAACTGCTTGACTATAAAGCGCTGCCTAGCAGTGTTGATGCTTTGTGGCCCTGATGACAGATGTTCGTGATGCTTCAGCATCGGCCATATGACATGAGTCTTTGCGCGCAGCGATGCTAGACATGATATGGCTCACACCCCCTCCATACTAGTGCTTGAACAGTTTGGACTTGCAGATGAGACGGTAGCAAGGAGAAGCGAAGTCTGATACGGAGTCAAGAAACAAAGCCGCTTGGCCGAAATTTGGTTTGAACGTCAAGCATAGCAGCGGGAAAAAAGCAATTGTCGTGGTTGCAGTTCTACCGTTTTTTTTTCTCCATGTTTGCACCAACTTGGCTGTTGTATGTGATTTAGCAAATCCACAAAGCTTTGCGAGTACGGTTCCAAGCTTGCCGCGGCATTGTGGAAACAGGTGAGAGCATAGCTCGATGCCAGTTCCTTGATTGTACATGAACGCCCGCTGAGTTGTGGTAGGGCTCGGGAAACTTGATTTTGTTCGCAGGCCTTTCTTCGGAAGCTATGCGTAGATCTTAATTACCCGGTCCAGGAGCCATGTTGGAACGGACATCTGCGCCAAAAACTGAGGGCTGCTGCAGAGTACTGTTCCCCTCTTTGACCCGATCACCGTTGATCTCACTGACTCCTAAACTAGCTTCTTTCGCAACTCTAAGCCCGGCTCAGCATTATTTGCCTGAGAAGAGCCTGGCGGCTCTCCATCTTTGGTGCAGTCATGCATCTGATTTTGGCTGAGCATGCTGATCCCATGTTTCTCTGACTTCTGCTGCTTGCTTTTAGTGCTCGAAGCCATTTTTTAAAGCAAAGCCCAGCACTTCGTTCATCCATCTTCTTAGAAACCCAACCATTGCTTCCACTCTTGCATCCTCCGCAACTTTTACAAGAAGGTTTCCAATGTGTGCCCAGATATAGTCTCGCCCCGGCGGGCGCCGCCCCTCCCCCCTCTGACATTCCCAAGCGATGTACAGAACAAGCTTGCCCACCTTCTTTCTGCTTCCCCCCCCCCCTCCTGTTGCTGTGGTCCTGTGGCACCTGTGGCGCTCTTGGGTTCTGTTTGCTAACAATGAACTCAGATTTCCGGATCGCTGGTTTCTGAAATTCCCCCGAGTGCCCCA